CTCATAGTAGCTAATTTGCTACTAGGAACAAGAAGCTACTAGTAACATTATCTCTCTTTCGCACGTTTTTAAGTGACTTGTGGCGTGTGTTTCTCGCTCGCCTGGTGACTGTCATGGCATCGATGCTTTCTGTTGCGTCCAGCTTTTCGCTGCACCTGCAAGCTGGGCTCGACTTCCGTCTCTTCAAGTCACGAATGCGCTACTAGTAGTAATGCCCTTTCTACTAGTAGCAATGGCCTCCAACCTAATAGCGATGGCCTCCAACCTACTAAATCTGTTTTATAAGGAGCTTTGTAAGGGTGACTCGAGGGGGAGTTGGGTTGATTAAGTGCGGAAAGTGATCCCAATACCAGAGGAATTCATAGCAGGTATGGCGACCACAGGCGAAAGGAACATGATGTTTTTTCTCGCTACTAGTAGCATCCTTGCTACTAGTAGTAATAGCCTAATAGCTTGTAGCTCCTAGTAGCGTCCTTGCTAGTAGTAGTAATGGCGGCGAAAGGCGAAAGGAAACAGGGCTCAAGAAAGATGTCAAGAAGGATCCTACAAAGCTGTTCAGCTGCAAGCATAATTCATCTGGCCTCGGCAGTTCCAAACCTGGAGGTGCCTAAACACTGCAAAACAAGAAACACAAAGACCACCTAGCGACAAAGTGTTTCGACTTCAAACATGATTGAAGACCTTGCAAGTTATTTGCGAGTTCCAAATCTGTTCATTGGCAATAAATGCATTCGTTCACAAGATCAAATCGGCTCCACTCCTGGATGGTCAGCAGCATCAGCCTCAATCACAATAAGTCACAACGCATGAAAGCGGCAACTCGCTGTGATTTCAAAACGCAAATATCCTTCATCCAAAGAGTAGACCTCCATTCATTTTGCAAGAAGAACCTTCAAAGACCTCTCGTCGCAACTGGCTGAATGGAGCTCTGTGGAAAGGATGAAGACATCCACGGCATTGATCAAAGTATTGAAACGTAGATTAAAGATCTTGGTCACCACAGGATCTGAGCCAGGGGCTCGTTCGGCATCACAGACATTGAAAACCTGTGCCAGATCTCATTGGGAATAAGAGAAGTAGGTGTACAGGCAGACCAACATTTGAACCTTCCCGGTCCTTTATTACAAACTTGCTTCTGGAAAGCCGTTTCCAGAACAAGAAGCTACTAGGGCTCCTGGCATCGCTACTAGGAGCAAGAACGCTGGCTACTACAGTTCTTCCTACAATTAGTGCTTCTTCACTTCTGTAGTTTAGTGACTCGTCCGAACGGGAGATTGTGGATGAGTGGGAAAGTATGGAGAAGTCATCTGCGTTAAGAGTGGACAACTATAAGAGTCCAAGGCTCTCCAATGCCTCCAAGAGTGTAAGGATCCAAAAATGGAAAGAAGCTCCAATGCTCCAATAGAAAAATTATGCCAGCATAGACCCTGAAGAATAGCAGCAAAAAACATTTGTGAATAGCAGCAGCACTCTGCAGTGGCACCAAAGCGCACCCAGGCACCTCTTCCTATACTTGAAGTAAGAACCCAATAGCTCTCCCCATCTGGTGAACAAATGGAAGGAAGAAGCTACTAGGAACAAGTGCATCGCTTCTAGTAACAAGTGCCTTACTAGTAGTAACAATGTTTGCTATTAGGAACAAATAGCTACTAGAACCAAGTGCATCGCTACTAGTAACAAGTGCCTTACTAGTAGTAACAAGG